ATATTGGTAAGAGTATAAGGGAACAGGTACTCTCATACCATGTTGGGAACAGGATAAAACACTATGAATTTTTAAAAGTCAATTCACAACAATCAAAATTTAAGATGTGTATATGCCTTGATCTTGCAATTCTACTTTTAGGAATTTATTTTATGAGCAAAGATATATATGAAGAGGCATATTCAGGTTATGTGTAGGGTTTTTTTTTTTGGACTTAATTTTCATTTTGGGGGGAATAAATGCTTAGGAGTGTGACTACTGTTTACTTTTTAAAGAAACTGCCAAACTATTTTCCAGAATGGCTAGAAAATTTTTCATTCCCACTGGCAAATAATCAGTGGTCCATTTTCATTATGTCATTTCCCAAATTTAGTATTCTTAGTGGTTTTTTGATCCTGAAAAATTTATGCTACTTTCCCTACCTTTGAAAAAATCATTCGAAGTCCACAGTTTATGTTAGAGTTCACTCTTACTTAGTGTTGTACTTCTATAGGTTTTGACAAATGCATAATGACATGTACTCACCATTATACTGTTCCTACTATTTTCAATTGTAGCCATCCTAGTAGGTGTGTAGTGATATCTCATTTGTGCATTTAATTTGTGTTTCCCTAATGGCTAATGATGTTAAACATCTTTTCATGTGCTTCTTTGCTATTCATATGTCATATTTTGTGAGATATCTTTCATATCTGTTACCATTTTCTAATTGGATTTCTTTTTAAAAAAATATATTTTATTGATTTTTTACAGATAGGAAGGGAGAGTGATAGAGAGTTAAAAACATCGATGAGAGAGAAACATCAATCAGCTGCCTTCTGCACACCCCCTACTGGGGATATGCCCACAACCAAGGTACATGCCCTTGACCAGAATTGAACCTAGGATCCTTCAGTCCACAGGCTGACGCTCTATCCACTGAGCCAAACCAGTTAGGGCTAATTGGATTTCTTTTACTGTTCAGTTTTGAGAGTTCTTTATATAATCTCAATACAAACCCTTTGTCAGCTATATGATTTGCAAATATTTTCTCCCAGTCTATAGCTTGCTTTTTCATCCTCTGAACAGGGTCTTCCACAGAGAAAAAATTTTAACTTTGATGAAGTCTTATTTACCATTTTTTTCTTTAATGATCATACCTTTGGTGTCATATGTAGAATTCTTTCCCAACTCTACATCCCTGTATTAGTTTCCTAGAGTTGCTATAACAAATCAACATAAACATTGTGACTTAAAGAAGAGAAAATTATTTTCACCTCTGACTGTGGCAAAATATTCATTAATTATTTTTATGCATGCTATATCCTGTCACCTCTCTAAATATAATAATTATTCTTAAGCTGTACAACTTTTTTTTTATTATTAGCTTTGTTTCCTTGGATGTAAATTCTTTTATTTGTTGAAGTTGTGGCCTATGCCAGATCATGTCTGTTGGTACTTAGCCCTATATCCACTTTGCTATAATCCCCTTTGTATTCCTGAAGCTGGGTATCTGAAATGACATATCCCAGACTCCCTTGCCAGATGAGTGCTATTTATATTATGCAAATGAAGGACAGTCACACAAGATTGAAGGAGGGAAGAAGGGGAGAAGTATTGTGTTTCAGACAGTGCCCATGGCAGTGGCAGTGGCCCCTGCTACTGTCCAAGCAGTGAGTGCAGGCTATGGGCTACAGCTCAGGGACTGTAGCCACTTCCTGATCTATGGGCAACACCATCTCCCTCCCTTTGCTTCTCCAGCCTTTCCAAAATTATGGTAGCAACTTCCTTGATGGATGAAGTATTTTGGTATTGGAAGCAGTCCAAGCAGATAGGCTCTCATAGATATAAATTTAAGGCTGCTTATCGGAACTGGCCTCCTTGCCAGTAGAACTGGGTTATTATTAGTCTAAAGCATGAGGGACAAAAGAGATATTTAAGTTAGAATTCGGGGTTACCTTGAATGGAGTGCAATTGTAGACAAATCTTTGGAAGATATAAAGGAATATTTTCCTTTCTTGACATTTCTGAGGATTCGTGGATGGAATGGAAGGCTGCAGGGTACGCTTACTCTGCCATCCTGCTCCAATCTTCTGTATTATTTTTTGAAATGGTGATTATGCTTATTGCTCAATTAAGATTATGTTTTAAAAATCACTACAAGGAAAACTATGTGGCAATATTTAACCATACTTCATGGACACTTGGCCTGCTATTTCAATATCCCAATGCACATGTTGAAGGGGTTTGAACAGTAGCCACGATACCCTGGAGGAAATGATCACATTTTTTGATTATTTCATTCCAGTAACAGTTCTGTCCTGGGAAAAAGATTAGCCTCCAGGCATTCCTGACTGTTTTTCAGTTACAGTCTCTAAACCAGTATGCAGCAGCATTGCTTCTTTCTACAAGGTGGCCTTTGTAGTAGCTGGCAGATTTCCCTGGGGCCTCAGAATGGCAGACTTTCGCAATGTCACTGGCTGACAGTTCAATCCAGCACAGGCTTGGCGAGATTTTGGGGCTAAAGTCATTGCACCTTGTGTAATAGTTAAAGCTTGCAATAACCAGCTGCAGTCCCTAAGGCTGGGAAAAAATACTTTTTATGCCAATCCAAAACTACCCTAAAATACATGCACGAATCTTAGAGTCTCAGAGTCCACCTGGAGGGGTGAAGAACATGAGGTATTACAAAGCCTAAGAATTCTGTAGTCTGATGGGTCTGGGTTCAAATCTTGAATCTGTACCTTGGACAAGTCATTTACTAGAACAGTGATGGCGAACCTTTTGAGCTCGGCGTGTCAGCATTTTGAAAAACCCTAACTTAACTCTGCTGCCGTGTCACATATAGAAATTTTTTGATATTTGCAACCATAGTAAAACAAAGATTTATATTTTTGATATTTATTTTATACATTTAAATGCCATTTAACAAAGAAAAATCAACCAAAAAAATGAGTTCGCGTGTCACCACTGACACGCATGTCATAGGTACGCCATCACTGTACTAGAATGATCTCTGGATGCTTTATTTGTAAAATGGGAAACAATCATAGTTATCTCCAAGGGAAGATTATAACAATTCACTTACTAATTGATTCAACATTTGTTATTGCCTACCTTTTACTAGATCTTATTCTAGGGCCAAGGGGACACAATATTGAACAGGCAATGTGCCTGATTTCATGAAGTTTACATTCTAATAAGTAGAGAAAGAGAGTAACACAGACCAAAATAAATAAGAAAATGCCACAATAAAAATGAAACAGCGATGAAACAGAGAGTTGCTGCAGTTTCTCTGTGTTTTCTTCTTGGTTCAAACTACCTAGTAACTATATAGAACCTCATTTTCACAGGCCCCTTATCTAAGCCAGTAGGCCTTTGGAGAGGGTCTCATGATTAATTTTAATGGTCCAATGGTGATGGAAGGAGACTTGATTTTAGGTGGTTAACACATAATGCATTATACAGGTGATGTATTGTAGAGCAGTATACCTGAAACCTACATAATGTTATGAACTGATGTCACTCCAATAAATTCAATAAATTTTTAAAAAATGTTAATGGCTCAATTTGACTTCTCTGGAAACATTTGCATACAGCATGTCCTAAAATAACATCATTTCATTCAATGTTTTATTATAACATTGATGAGATGCTGTAGGAACTTAACTTCTGTTTATATCAATTAGACTATGGTAAAATTGGTTTTGTTTTATGTCGCTTCATAAAACAGAACCTATGGATGACATTAAGTGAGGACCTACTATATGAGTAGAAGGCAGAGGCCTTGGGCCATACTTTCACTTTACTTTGCTGGTGGACTTTTAGGCTCTGTGTGGCCAGTGGAGGTGGTATTTGGGGCTAGGCAGACACTTTCTTGCCCATCCTCTGCCTGAAAACACTCTGTTTCTGAATGTCTTGTAGAATTTGTTACTGGGATCTCAAGCCCTGCTGGGGTCATTTAATGCATCAGAATTTGTGGCTTGCAAGAACCAACTTTGATCCCGCCCTTCAAAAATATAACATGGGTCTGTCAAGAAAGAGTCCAAGGTGATGAATGTTGCTATTTCAAGCCTAAGCCTAGGAACACCGATGTGGATGGCAGCGTCTGGTCCTCCAGGCTGCTCCAGCCCAGAGCTGGGTTCCCTAATAGGTGGATTAGGCACATGGTTAAGGCACTGGTAAAAGAGAACTCACACACACCTGAAAAGTTAGCTTTTAAAGCCTTATTTAGAATTTTGGAACCAGAAATATCTTGGAAGATGGTATTCTAATATCACATTTTATGTAAGTTTTCTGTTATATTGAATATGAGTTACATAGGGGTGGGGCTCCATAATCTTTTGGAATTCAGGGCCTCTAAAGGTCATAATCTGGCCCTGTCCCACACCATCCAGAAACTTCCCCTCACCTCAGTTCTCAGAATTAACACACATAGTCTCTCACAAAACTGGGGTCTAGGCTAGGGAGTGGAGGATGTATTCTATTTCTTACTCTACTGCAGCCCCCTCTGCCTGTTCCCCTTTCTGTAGTGCCAATGACTGAACCACACAGTTTCACACTTCATCATATGCAGTGACCAGGAGTGTGATAGTGGTAACTGGTGCCTCTGACTTTTAGGGCAAATCTATGGGGGCAGGGAGGTCTCCTGGACCATTGGATGATTCCATTTTACATGAGAAAATTTCTCCCGTGATACAGAAATATATTGTTTTCCTGCTTCTGGTCTTGAACCTTACCCCATCTTCTATTGCTGTTATAGGAAGCAAAAATAAGGGCCAAGGCCTGGGAACATGAGGGTTTGACTGAGTCTCCACTTGGCCTCTTCAGACCAAGCTGGTCTGCCCCAGTTCCCCAGAGTAGAGACCTGGGCAGCTGCCAGGGGCAAGGTGCTGGCCCATTGGTCTCTGGCCTTCACAGGGTTGGCCAATGGGAAGGGACAGCTGTGAGGTGGGACCGCCTACCCCCATGAGTAGCAGGCTGCTGAGGCCGAGCCATCTCCTCCTCTCTCCCATCCTGACTGCAGTCTGTGGATCTGATCCCACACCTGGAGGTAAGAGCAATGTGATTAATGTTCGAGGCTGGGGTTGGTGGTGGCTGCCCTGCCTTGGGGCCTCTGGCTCAGGTGCCCCCACACTCTCCTGTTGCAGCAGCGTGGTGAATGATACAGCAAAGCTTGGCCAGGGCAGTTTTCTTGATTCTCTTCACAGCTCCAAGAGAAAAGAGACTGTTCCTCTGGTCAAAATGCCTGGGACCATCTTGAATTTTGACCAGTTCACTCTGTGGCAAGATGCCTCCCCAGAGAAAAAGTTAGGGTCAGCAAGGGGGAGGAATGGTCCAGTGGTAGAGTCCAATTAGATAAGAGGAGAAGGAGATCAAACAATTCTCACAGAAAGAAGCACAGGAAGAGGCAGTCTGGGAAAAGCCTGAGCTCCGACCTCAGACTGAGTTTGAAATCCAGGTCTACCACGTGATTCTACTCAGCAAATGTTATTGAGCAGATTTTACGGGTTCTCAAGACACAAAGATGAATGAGACATTGTTGCCTAAAGATTTGGGAGTATCTATGAACATGGGGATATCTACGGAGATGTGGGGGACATCTCACAGAGTGATCAAGAGGTTCAAATGAGACAAAGTGAGCAAAGGGCCTGGCATATACTGGAGGGGTTTATGAAAAATCTTATTTTTAGAAGACATTTTCTGATAGAAACAGCTGGGTCTGCCTGGCCTTTCCCAAACTCAGTTCTCTCCACAGTGAGCAGTGTCTGATGCATCTTGGTTGTTTCCAGCTGTCAATGTAGAGGCCAGAGTGGGAGGCATTTTAGATGTCAGGCCAGTCCTTGTGTGTGTGTGTGTGTGTGTGAGTCAGAGAGAGAGATTTGGGCATGGAGATGCTGACAGTTTTCCCAGGGCTGAGTGAAAGCTTTCAGGTAACTCTCCTGGGAGCTGAGCTAATGCTGCTTCTGCCATCTAGCATTAGGTCGCACCATGTGAAATTGCCAGTATTCTATCATTTTTTAACTTTTAAAAACAGCAAGTTCATATAATTCAAACTAAGAGTTGTATGATAGAAGCAGAGAAGCATTGATCAGACCATCAAACCTCAGAGGGAAGGTAGGGGAGGGTGGGGGTAAGGGAGAGATCAACCAAAGGACTTGTATGCATGCATATAAGCCTAACCAATGGACACAGACACCAGGGAGGTGAGGGCATGAGTGGGGGTTGGGAGGAGCAATGGGGGCATAAGGTCACATATGTAATACCTTAATAGAGAAAATCTTTTTTAAAAAGTAAAAAAAAAGTTGTATGATTTTTTAAACCAATATCTTGGTCTCTTCATTCTCCTATATAGGGGAGTCAAAAGCTATGCAGAAAGGATTGAATGAAATCAGATTTAAAAGTGCCTCACACAATTTATGCTCCAAAGTACTCTTGCTAATGTCAAAGTGTTCTCATGGCCCTCATCTTACATGATCTCATTTAGCGGATTAAGAAGCTGAGCCTGGGAAGCCTTTTGGGAGGCAGTGTAATGTGATGGAAAGCTCACTGGTTTGGAAGCCAGATGGGAATCTCACAGGAATCATCTTAATCTCTGTTTCCCCATCCCAAAAGTTGGGGTTATTTTCCATGCTTCATGGAGTTCTTATAAAGATTAAAATACTAGTAAGTAATTAATAAAATGAATAATGTGTAAAAGCTCCTGGTGTGGGAGTTAGTTTCTAGGTTAATCTAATAAATACAACTCTTTCTTTGCCCTTAGTCCCCCATTTGTAAAAGCAGGGGAGGGGTGAGATGGTTTCTGGGGCCCCTCTTGTCTCCCAGGGGCTGTGTGAACTGTGCTTTACTGCCCTTTCCTGCTGGAAGAGTTGGCGCCCGATGTGTTAACTTCTTCCCCCCATACTGCTCTGTCCCCTGTCAGCCCCAAAGGAGACCTCATCCTTGTATTTCACAAGACTCTGCTCTTGTTACTAAAATTCCAGCAGGTCAAAGTGGAAGTTTTCATACATTTTAACACTAGAGGCCTGGTGCATGAATTCATGCATCAGTGGGGTCCCTTGGTCTGGCCTGCGATGGGATTGGGCTGAAACTGGCTCTCCAACATCCTGTGAGGGGTCCTGTATTGTGAGAGGGTGCAGGCCAGGCTGAGGGACCCCATCAGTGCATGATCAGGGCCGGGGAGGGACGTGGGAGGTTGGCTAGCTGGGGAGGGACCACAAGAGGGCTCCAGGGCATGTCCGGCTCATCTTGCTAAATCCTGATTGGCCAGACCCCAGCAGCAAGCTAACCTACCTGTTTGGAGCGTCTGCCCCCTGGTGGTCAGTGCACATCATAGTGAGCGGTTGACTGGCCTTAGCGTATCATTAGCATATTACGCTTTGATTGGTTGAATGGATGACCAGACAACTGGACACTTTTCATATTAGGCTTTTATTATATAGGATATGAAAATGAGAGATCATAACATGGCCTTTGAGGACTCAAAGAACATCATGATTATCCCCTTGTAATTTTTTATTTATTTTTATTTTTTTCTTTATTGATTAAGGTATTACATGTGTTCTTATCTCCCCATTGCCCTCCTCACTTGTGCCCTCACCCCTTAGTGTCTGTGTCCATTGGTTCTGTGTATATGCATTCATATAAGCCCTTGCAATTTTAAAAGCAAACAGCTCCTGTGCATGGGGCCATGAAAGCCAGTGCAGTAGAGAGGAGCCAGCCTTCCATTTCAAATGGCACCTCTGCACGCTTCCACTTGTTATCCTGGGGCAGAGGTTATCATACCTCTCTGGTTCTCAGATTTCTCTTGTGGGCATTGAGTCCTACCTTCTGGAGTTGTGGGGATGAAATAAGATTAATAGGGGTGGTCCACAAAGCTTCCCCATAAATATTTGTTTGCTGTCATTCTCTTCACTTACATGTATGGAACACTTCATACATTTATAAAATATTTTTAGTCAATTGATTTGTACATAATAATGTGAAATAAATGAGATAAGAATTAATAATCACATTTGCAGGCAAAGAGCATGGTGTCCAAAAGGGAGTAGGGGCAGGTAAGTCACCCAGCGAGTTAATGGTGGAGCTTAGACTAGGAGCCAGGTCACTTACATCATGATCTGGAGGTCTGTTCATGCTATTGGATGTCTCCATCCTATGGATGGAATAGCAAATGACAGATGTGTGACCTGATGCTGTTTTCCTCCTCTGGGCTATGCCTAAGAGTTCATTATTGGGCTTTGGAAGGCCAGAGTTTGATTTCCAGCTCCGCTATGTGTAGGTCGAGGATGTTGGCCAAGTCACTTAACCTCCTTGAAGACCACTTTCTCATCTCTAAAATGGGTACAATCAGAGCTAACATTTTAAAAAATATATTTTTATTGATTTCAGAGAGGAAGGGAAAGGGAGAGAGAAACATCAATGATGAGAGAGAATCATTGATTGGCTGCCTCCTGTACGCCCCACATTGTGGATCAAGCCCGCAACCCGGGCATGTGTCCCAACTGGGAATTGAACAGAGATCTCCTGGTTCATAGGTCAATGCTCAACCACTGAACACACTGGCTGGGCCAGAAATAACATTTATTGAACACTGACATGTGCCAGGCACTGTTCTAAGTATATTGTATGGTTTATGCCACACAATCCTCCAACTAATATGCTACTGAAACATGTTACAGGTAAGAACAAATTATTTTCACCTGAGCACTGATATCATGAAGCATGTGCTCCCTATTTCTGCCTCATACTGTCTCTCAAAATGGCTGAGAGAATAAAATATCAAGTGAGGTAGGACTTTCTACACAATGAAGAATTAGAAGTGGAACTTGGCACTGATCTTCATGATCCATGTGAAAGGTTTCTTTATATGCACAATTGAGTCTTAGATCACATGGTTTCATTTAATAATTTTAATAAAGAAGTCTTTCAAAATCAAAGTGTAACTATTATTATATCCAAACAAAGAGCACAAACAATTTTTATTTATTTATTTAATTTATTTTTAAATAAATATTTATGGTTCAGATTATTAAAGTTGTTCCTCTTTTCCCCCCCATAGCTCCCCTCCACCTGGTTCCCACCCCACCCCCTGCCCTTTCCCCCCACCACTGTCCTCGTTCATAGGTGTACGATTTTTGTCCAGTTTCTTCCTGCACCCCCCATACCCTCTTCCCTCCAAGAATTGTCAGTCCACTCCCTTTCTATGCCCCTGATTCTATTCTATTCACCAGTTTATTCTGTTCATCAGATTTTTCATTCACTTGATTTTTAGATTCACTTGTTGATAGATATGTATTTGTTGTCACTTTGTTGTTCATATTTTTATCTTTACCTTTTTCTTCTTCTTCCTCTTCTCAAAGAATACCCTTCAGCATTTCATATAATACCGGTTTGGCAGTGATGAACTCCTTTAGCTTTTTCTTATCTGTGAAGCTCTTTATCTGACCTTCAATTCTAAATGATAGTTTTGCTGGATAAAATAATCTTGGTTGTAGGTTCTTGCTATTCATCACTTTGAATATTTCTTGCCACTCCCTTCTGGCCTGCATAGTTTCTGTTGAGAAATCAGCTGACAGTCGTATGGGTACTCCCTTGTAGGTAACTGACTGTTTTTCTGCTTTTAAAATTCTCTCTTTGTCTTTTGCTCTTGGCATTTTAATTATGATGTGTCTTGGTGTGGTCCTCTTTGGATTACTTTTGTTTGGGGTTCTCTGTGCTTCCTGGACTTGTAAGTCTATTTCTTTCACCAGGTAGGGGAAGTTTTCTGTCATTATTTCTTCAAATAGGTTTTTAATATCTTCCTCTCTCTCTTCTTCTGGCACCCTTATAATTCGAATGTTGGTACGCTTGAAGTTGTCCCAGAGGCTCCTTTACACTATCTTCATATTTTTGGATTCTTTTTTCTTTTTTCTTTTCTGGTTGGGTATTTTTTGCTTCTTAGTATTTCAAATCTTTGACTTGATTCTTGGGATCCTCTTGTCTGCTGTTGGATCTCTGTATATTATTCTTTATTTCAGTCAGTGTATGCTTAATTTCTAGTTGGTCCTTTTT